ATAAACTATAAACCAATAAATATTAAAAATCGGAAGGTGACTTGAATTATCTTGTATTTGAATTTACTTGTACTTGAATTTATCTACATGAAAAAATCATTATTATGTTACTAAAAAAATATACCTACTTATTTACTTATTTTTTTAACATACTACTCTGACAATACTGGTAAGTTTAAAACTCTACGCCACTGGCGAGCATAATATGGACACTGTCTAACAACGTTGCCAGCCGGTCCTAAGAGATCTGTATTTCTCTCTTCCACTCACTAACAATTTTAAAACAATAACAGTCCGCAATTGTATGGGGTTTATGAATGAAACATTTTGTCTCTATGTTGTAATGTCTTTGTGTTAGATCAATTTTCCCACTTGCTGGAGTACCACAGGGATCCGTTCTGGCCACTGCTCTATACGTCATATACACTCACGATCGTCCACCCCCAAACCACCCATCGTGAAAATGTATTCTCTATGCCAATGATACTGCTCTGCTCTCGGTAGCTAAAAATTCTGGCCAACTAAGTTATCGAACCCGCTGGTGTAGCAGATGGAGTCTCAGACAATCCACAAAAAACACAATTCATCATTTTTAAACATTCAAACTCACATAGAGCCACCCAGCTTCCCCAGAATATTAATGTAAATTTCCTGGAAGTCAGACTCGCCAAATAAATTAAAGTTGACTATTTCGGAATACGATTTTCTCCTGAGATTTTCTCACACTCTCTGGTCGTCGAATGCCAAACGCACTCTTAATAAGATGCGACGGCGAGCAAGTCTCTTTGGAGATTTGTGTGGACGATATGGACGATGTAACTCAAACACTCTAATTTTCACTTACAGTTTTTTAATTACCCGTTTTATAGGGCATACTTCGGCGATGCCAATTTCTTCCAGCGAAGAAGTTTTCGGAAACATCTCCAACGCCCCCATTCTTTCTTGTTTCCAAACCCTTAGAAAACAATACGTCCCTCGCATTTTAAAAGTACCAAACACACACTCCCAACACAAACCTTCTGACGCCCTCGGCGCCTCCCACTATTCCACAAACCGAAAAAGAAAATCCATCAGCCTAACTTACGATTTACTCTCTGACTCCCAAAATCTCCCACTGTCCGCTGAGCTCCAGGATATGCTAAACTCAGGCCCATTATCTATAAGATAAACCAACCAATTCCAATCACATATATTATAGCCATTGTCATTTTTAAAAATAATGTACAAATGAAGAGTGGGTGAATCAATGCAATGGTTGAAGCCTTAATAATAAATTATTACCTAGTTAAATTGAGTGCCATTCACCGGTGGGTTACAATTAATAGTGATGTTCCTAAAGTGGCACTGGGAAACATTGTTAATTTACTATTTTTCCATAGTAATAGTTTATGGCATGATCGGTCCAATTATCATATTTTGGTCCAAATAACCTGCGCTTATTATATATCCCAATAGTTATGACTCACCCTATAATAATAAGACAACACATCATACGAATTTGGCGAAAGAGCACGTGCATACAGAGGAGTAGATAGTACCACATCCAGATAGATGGCTTAGCTGCTATCTACGAGAACTACAGAGACACAGATAGGACAGCACACTATCTCCATCTGCACAACCAGAGGATGTCTACAAGGAGGAGTTGTAACCCTATTAATGTGGAGCTAACCATAGATGAAATTCTATGTAGATTGACTGACCTGGGCATACCCTGTCAAGATTATGCTGATAACATAGTATATATTCATATTTGCTAGAGGCAAGTTTGAAAATATCCTGTGTGATATGCGCTAGTTCAGTGTGATGCCATTTTGGTTCCACTGACATTTAATTCTAACCAAACTTTTAACAAAAACATCAATAAATTTGACATATACGTTTTTACTGTTTTTATTTTATCTCAAAATATTGTTTACAGGCCATAAAAATAGTTTAAAGGTATGTAATTGGTAACTAAACGATTGTATATTTGATACATGCTATCTACATACTTTAGGAATATATTTATAAAAGTGAAAAAAACGATATAATTTAGGTAAACAAAACGAACAAAACGCACTCAAAAATCTACTGTCACTTTAATTGTCAGTGGAACCATAATTACATCATCACTGAACTAGATGGTGCCGTGAGGCAAGACTCACAATCAGTATAAATCCCACGAAAACAACACTAGTAGTAGCCTTTTCGAGGTATAGAAAACTCAATCTTAAAACCGTCAAATTAGACGGGATAGATATAAAATGGAAAGAAAAGTCAAATTTCTAGGACAACGAACTTCTCTGGAACATACATTAGAAGGAAGTAGTAGATAAGGCCGCAAAAGCACCAATGGCTATGCAAACACATTGCGGCTAAAAGATGAGGATGTAATCCGAACACACTGCGAAGGATGTATACAGCAAGAGTGAGACCGATCATCACTTACGGGGCAAAAGCTTGGAGTAACAGAACTAGTTTAGCACAAAAGTACAAAGACTAGCCTGTGTTTGCATCACCGGTGCAATAAGAACCTGTCGTACGGCCGCAATGGAGCTGATCTTAAACAGTGACGTAGCGTGCCATCGATACAAGGGAATGTAATGAGTAATTTCGATTCACATTTTATAAAAACAATCAAATTTTTTCATAAAAGTCCTTAATTTTGGACTTACAAATAAAGTATACAAAAAATGTGGCAGGTTAAAAGAATAATCAAAATAATAAAAAAGAGTAAATTAATTTAGAGTAGGACAGTTTTCGTAAATAAATATAGTTTAAAAAAAACTAAAAAACACGCTTTTAGAGCATATCAAACTAAAAAGTTAAAAATAATTTTTCAAATAAGCTTAAAACAATAATAAATGGAAAATACTAGTATTATTGTGAAAAAAGCGTCGGGTGCTCGATGTACGACAAATAAGGACAAAAAATTTGTAAGTTGAAATTGCTGAAAAAAAAAAAACAATAATTTTTTTTCAGCCGTGGACGATCGACGACCCGCGCCAACGAACGAACTTGAGGTAGTGGGATATACTCAGGGCCGACTAGAGGGGGGGGGGGCAGCCGGGACTAATTCCCGGGGCCCGGGCTCAAATGGGGGCCCGGCAGTGGTGGTTTATTACTTTCAGAAGTTCGACACAAGAGGGGGGAAGTTCTTACGTGAAGACTTTTTTTTTAGATAAATTTAGGCAGAGGAGGAGAAATTTTTGCTTGAGGACCTTTATTTTTGTTTGAGGACCTTTTTTTATGCTTGAAGACCTAGGGAACCGATCTGGAGAATTTTCCTGGGGCCCGGTCTAGCTCTCGGCGGCCTTGGATATACTGACAGTAATAAGCCACTTGCTTTTAGTCCAAAGGAGAGTTACGAACATACATACATACAGGTGAAGCTAATAAAAGCGTGTTAAAAAAACAAAAATGTGAACGTATCTGTTAGATTTTAAATTTTAAAATTAAGATCAGTTCTAGTGTGCAGATTTGTGAAAATATTTATTACATTTTCTTCAAATGAAGGGAAAGAACTCGATTACTATAATCGCATTCGCGTATAAATATGTGACGAATGAGATGCGTTTAAGAGACCGCATAACTCATCAGCGGAAACAGCGGACTGGAAACCTGAAACATGAAATCACGACCGGAAGGGTCGCTGGCCTCAGCTCACCCAACCAGGCGTTCAAAATGTATTAAAAGACATCGCATCTCGCATAATAGCCTGTTGAAATATTTCTATTTGTAGCGTAGTAGCGTATTCTATAAGGCTCGACAAATACACATATAAATAACTGAAATTGAATTTAAATATTTGAATTAATTCACTGAGAGTTTTAATTTATTATAAGAGATGATCTTATTGATTTTATTTCAAATAAAAATATACTGACAATATTCTAAGGGGATGCGACGCATTACCCACATCAATTGATGCTTCGTCACCGATCTTAAATTCCATCACTCTACACGTAATAATAAAGAACGTGGCAAAAAGGATACGATATAGAGTGATCAGGAACGGAGTAATAAGAATCAAAGATAAGTATTTGAGATATGATCCAGGATGAAATGAGAAAGAAGTACAGTTTTGTGAAAAATTTCTAAACCACAGAGTTGGGCTGCAAAAAAGTATGAGGTCAAGAGTCCATCGTGCTTGCAACCGAAAGACATGCCACTCGGTGGATGGTTCCAAAACTATAGAAGAAACTGGAATACGAGTGTATGGGTCTAGAACCAGGCCCCCTGAAAGTTTGGTAAAATACCCAATCATCTTCCAGGCGGACATTTACGCCATTGAGAAATATATTCAGTATAATATCGATAGAAAATATCGTAGACAAGATATTATCATCATGTCCGATAGTGCTGACTGAGCTTACGTAATCAGCTCAAAAATTCTCTGGAGATGCCTAGAAAAACCAAATGAGTTAGGCCAGGAAAATACAGTTACTCTCACTTGGGTTCCGGGACATAACGAGGTATAGGGTAACGAGATTGCAGATATTCTCGCAAGAAAAGGGGCTCAGACACTTTTTATGGGACCTGAGCTATTCTGCCGTATCAACAGTAACACAATATTAAGAGATATTAAAAAAGAATTGGGCATTTTAATAATTGGAATAATCTCTTGGGACTAAGGCAGACTTCTGAGTAAATATAATCAGAAAATATCGGTATCTATTTGTAGTAGTAAAAGATAGTGAGTGCAGATTCTGTAAGGAGAAGGACCAAACGGCATATCAAATAGAGGAGGAAGAGTTACCTTACTTGAAGCCACTCCAAATCTTACACTTCCTTGAGAAGATAGGATTGGAAGGGTCGTTAAGCCATCGAGACATTTTCTTGCTGTATTAGCAACATAAGGTTGCACAATAGATCTTTTAGGTCGCAGTATATTAACTCCCCATTCCCAACATAACATTAACATTAAACTTGTATTTCTATATTTTGATTTTATATTTAAAACAATATTTACAAAATAAGTAAAAAATAATATTCAAATCAGTCTAATAAAAAATGCTTCAGGTACTCTCTTCTGCGGCAGAAGGAAAAATATAAGTTGGATTTAAAACACTAAAATCAAGGTAAACTTTCTTCTTTTGGCAATCTAATTGTTGAACTATACCGCAGAATGTTGGTCGCTTTCCAGGAGTTTCGTTCCAACAATTTAACATTAAAGTGTAGAGTTCATCCGTACAAATCCTGGGCCTTTCCAACCGCTTGCCCATTTTTAAATTGTACAAAACAAGACTGTTTGGAGTTTTCTGATAAGGCAAAGCACCTGAAAATTATATTTTTTTATATAATAATATCACATTTTATTTAAAATTACAAAATTATAATAACAAGAAGAAAAAGAAACGTCATAAACAAAAATTTTTCTAAAGCAGACCATGACCGACAAAGACAGAGATACGGGTCATGTCCGTGATAACTATGCACGTTTCAGAATTAAATCCAAACTGACACTTAAAAAGAACATGCATGAATTTTTCCAGAGTCTACTTTAGACATATTTTTTTGTGGATCACTACATATTATTTGTAAATGAAAATATATGATAAAAATGGAAAACAAAATATTTAAATGCGTGCTAACAGAACAGAACGTTTATTATTCGTTCATATTAGTATTTGTTAGAAAATTTTGGAGTCCGAACAAGTTATAAAAATATATAAGGTACTCATCGAATTAACATTACCTAATGTACCTATTTCCCATAGAACTACTCCGAAAGACCACACGTCACTTTTATTATCACAAGTTTTTTCTTCAATAGCCTCGATGGACATCCACCTTAATGGCAATTTTTGGCCAATACTGCTAACGTAGGTTCCAACTCTCGATAGTCCAAAGTCTGATATCTTTAACACTTTGTCACTGGCCATTAAAATATTTCTAGCTGCCAAATCTCTATAAAAACAAGATAACATTTACTTTTACACATCAACGGCATGCATGTACTTAAAAGAAATTCGAGAGACGCTAAAATGGTGGTTCCCACCTTATCGAGACTGAGGCCCACAAGGCTAAACTCGCAGCGTAACAAAACAAAAACATCTGACCGGTTAGATCAAATGATGATTTGCCATGAATGTACTCAGAAATACATTCCGGTTTTACTATGGGTACATTTATTCTGCTATTACTGGGGATCGTTTTTAGTATATGTTTTATTAGAAAGCATTCTGATATATTGCTTCTCGCGCCATTTGGTGACAAAAAATCCATTGTTTGTTTGAATAACATACCCATGCTTGACAAAACATAAGACTTTATGACTTTAAAAACTGACGTGCTCTCTCCAAACTTCGAAACTAAACCCCAATATAAGTAATAATACAGCAGCGACAGTTCATTGTTTATGAGAGATTAATACTTTTCTGCGTATGTTTGTAAATAAGCGGCAAATACGTCAACTGTCAATAAAAATCTGACCACTCGACATCAAAGGAGCCTACCCAAGCTGTCGCTACTGTATTATTAATTATACTGGGACCATATAGACTGGGACTAAGCTATGACGTCAAATCATGCCCTCTACGGGTTAGACAGGAAACTTCATCTCATCCTAGTAATACAGGGTGTCTGTAAAAGGTCTTTACAAAAACATACCACATATTCCTTAGACCAAAATAAGTCGATTTAAGTAAAATTACCTTAGTACAAAGTTGCTTCGTTTGGGCTCCAGAGGGCCTTGAATTTACAATTTTTAAATCGTTTTTCCCATATAAATTTAAAACGGCATATACGATTTTGCTAAAATTTGGTATATTGGTAGAGTTTTATGTGGCAAAAAAATGGTATTAAAATTTTGTCCTATAATAATACATAGGCGTAGAACCTGATTTTTTAAATAATTGCACAATTCTACGCCAATGGAAGAAAAGGAGTTTGAGTATGAAATTTAGATTGCGCAACTCATTTACTTTAAAAAAGGTACTCTTGATAAAACTCGATTACTCTCATGGTTTTGACGAAATTTGCATTTTAGTAATTTTAGAACATAAACAATAATTATTAAAATACAAACTTTGTCAAAACCATGAGAGTAAATCAAGTGTTATCAAGGGTACTTTTTTGTAGTAAATGAGTACCCAATCCAAATTTCATACTGAAACCCCTTTTCTGCCATTGGCGTAGAATTTTTAAAGGTGCAATTATTTAAAAAATCAAGTTCTACGCCTATGTATTATTATCGGACAAAATGTTATACGATGAAAAACATAAAAATGTACTTTTATCATATCTTCTACACTTCTAATCGAGACTTTTAACAAAAATACTCGATTCTTGCCATGTACGATTTTTTGAGGAATATTAATTATTTGCCTGCAATACGTATACAAAAACATTTATTGTTGGTTTCCATAGTTTCATCTAAATAAAAATATTGTCAAGTTTTAACACCTAATCTCTTGTTAACGATTGAAAGTGTTCTATCTGACTCAATAATTAAAAAAACAAATGCGTGGTTTATTAATATGGCTGTACAATATACCAATGCAGAATATACCGATATGTTACTGACATTAGGATTTTGTGAAGGAAATGCTCAAGAGAGTGTCAGGGTGTACTCTGAAAGGTTTCCAAATCGTCGTGTACCTAGCCACCCAACTTTTGCTGCTGTTGAGAGACGTCTTCGGAAGACCGGTTCCTTTGCTCCCAACACTGTTGATAATGGAAGAGAACGTTTTGTAAGGATTCCTGAAGTTGAAGAAGACATTCTAGAACGTGTTGAAGAAGATCCAGAATTAAGCACCAGACGAATTGGAAGGGAACTAGGAGTAAGTAAAGATGTCGTTCATAAAGTGCTTAGAGAACAATTGCTATATCCATACCATAAGAAGCCAGTACAAGAATTATTAGTCCATGATCCTCAAATTCGTTTGGGTTTTTGTCGATTTGTTAATATGCAAAGAGAAAGAGATCCAAACTTTGTCAAGAAGGTTCTCTTTACCGATGAAGCGGGTTTTACAAGAAGAGGTATAACTAATACCCATAATGAACATGTTTATGCCGTTGAAAATCCGCATGCAATAAAGGTAAACCATTTTCAGCACGAATTCAAAATTAATGTGTGGGCTGGAATAATTGGTAATTTCATTGTTGGTCCTGTCATACTTCCACGAAGATTAACTGTAGAAAATTGTTTGGATTTTCTACAAAATACGTTGCCAGAATATTTAGAAGATTTACCTCTCCAACTTCGGAGAGATATGTGGTTTATGCAAGATGGAGCTCCACCACATTTTTCTTTAAACGTTAGAAACCACTTGAATGAACAATATCCACACAAATGGATAGACAGAGGTAATGACGCACCTGTAAACTGACCACCACGTTCCCCAGACCTAACACCGATGGATTACTTTTTATGGGGACATCTGAAATCTACAGTTTACCGGGAACCTGTAGAAAATAAGGAACAACTCTGGCAACGTATTCAAGATGCAATAAACAATCTTAGAGGTGATGAAGAAGTTATGGAAAGGATACATTTTAATATTCTTCGACGTATAAATCTTTCTATACGTGAAAATGGTGAACATTTTGAACAATTTTTGTAAAATCTCTATTTTGATTATGTTGTAAATAAATATTTTTGTGAAACCTATACACTCTAAATTATTAAAACAGAAATTTAGCGAAAACCATAAGAGTAATCGAGTCTTATTAAGAGTACCTTTTTTAAAGTAAATGAGTTGCACAATCTAAATTTCATACTCAAACTCCTTTTCTTCCATTGGCGTAGAATTTTTAAAGGTGCAATTATTTAAAAAACCAAGTTCTACGCCTATGTATTATTATAGGACAAAATTTTAATACCATTTTTTTTGCCACATAAAACTCTACCAATACACCAAATTTCAACAAAATCGCATAAGCCGTTTTAAATTTATATGGGAAAAACGATTTAAAAATTGTAACTTCAAGGCCCTCTGGAGCCCAAAAGAAGCAACTTTGTACAAAGGTAATTTTACTTAAATCGACTTATTTTGGTCTAAGGAATATGTGGTATGTTTTTGTAAAGACCTTCTACAGACACCCGTATATTTTTAAAATTACGGCGCCTTTGTATCTTAGAAAAAGTTAGTGGTGTATTAATATTCTCGTTGATGAGGACCAAATATAAATAAATTATAAAAAACAACTGGTATTAGACATAAATGTGATTTTTTCCAGGACATACTTTATAAACTTTTTTGTAAATATTTATATTATATTGAGACTTAAATTTTTGGACACCCTCTATATACCTGTGAGTAATTTTGATTCGTTCTAAATATTCCATGCCTTGAGCAATTTGAAGTGCAAAATGTTGTAGTTCTTTACTGTCTAGAACAGCTTCTATCTGACTGGTATAATCGCTCGTGATTGAACCTGAATGTTCATTGCTTAGTATAGTCATTTCAGCTGAAAAATAAAATATAATTAAAAACTATTTGATTCGTATTTAAAAAAAAACTGTTTTTATACACTTTATATACAATATAATAAATCGATGCAGCTAAGTTAATAGTCTCATTTCTGCGAAAATAGTGCTACTTGTTTCATTTTTTTTTTTGGCGTAGACTACGAATATAATAATTTGGAAATAGAGATTAAACATTTCAACATTGTGAACATTTTTCCATACATCCATGTATTAAATTCATAGCCTTTATAAGAAATAAATCCTTTTATTAATTAACATGTTTATTTCATATGTAGTGACTATTAAGTTGCTCCAACGATTTGATTTTGAACGTACTGTTATGTGAGCCATTTCATTATTCAGTCATGCTCTAATCCCCCAAGTCCCTCTCTGTCTGGCGAACATTCCTGAGTCAACGTGATAATATTTCTGGTATATTCCAGATATGAGATGTTTCTATTTTGATGGAAGATCATTCTGGAATCCTCCAATTTTTATATAAATATTGGTGGAGGAACACAGGCAATCAGTTTGTAGATAGACAGTGGTGAATATAAATAGTGAACATACGAAATATATATAAATTAGAATAGTATTGTTTAAAATAAATAAGTGTTTAAATAAATTATTAATAAATCACAGTATGACCAAAAGAACAAAAGACGTTTGAATTTTGAAGCATTGGCGTTATTTAGGATAAAAACGTACAAATTCTTTATTCGGCAATTTTGTGAAGGGTTGATGGTATGGAGAAATACTCAAAAATGGACAATCTGCAGGTCATGTTTTATTCGATTATCCTATTAGGACTTTAGTACCAGCACATTATAAGGCATTTGTGAAAGAATAGCAGGTTGCAATCGGCACTTAAGTTAAAACAAAAAGAACCTAGCGCGATGAGGCAACAGTTGGATCTAGTGTAAGAATTCAAAAAGACTAAATTATGGGTCGAGCAAAGAGATATCAGTGAACTCAGAAGCAAAAGAAATGACCTAAAAATATGATGTGTTCAACACATGACTTTCCTGTAAAGTTATTAACAATGTTTAGTATGGCCTATCTAACCAGGAAGTGTTTTAAATATGAATTACATATTATTTATAATATTTAACCCTAGTATACTAGACTATTTTATATGTATGTAATTACTGGAGTATCGTAAAATTTACGTTTAATAAAACATTCTATTTAGATAAAGATTTTATTACAAAAAAATCTACAATAGTTTTATAATATACAATATTGTAAAAAAATTGTTTTTAAGAGGTAAAATCTTAAACAGTTTTTTATTTTGACACTCTGGTTTCACATTCTCCACAGAAATATTTAGGATATTACCAATATCTTGCCGAATATTGCGCCAAAAAGTTTTATTATTGAGCCTCTCTTTCAGCCATGGTTCCCAAGACATTGACTTACTTCAATCATATATTGATATCTGTTCAATAGTTTTGTGTTTAATCTGAGTAATTTTGAGTTATAAAGTACATAGGAATTTATACTTGCAATATTTAACATGTCATAAAATATGACCATCGGCCACCTTCGAGTTTTGCTACCAAAATTCATATTCGAACACATCTGGTCGAAAGTGTCTACTCCGCCCTTTGTTTCATTATAATTATTTATAATTGTAGGTTTTCCTGTGGCTGATATTTGAGCCCCCTCGTGAAGAGTAGATAAAAGTAAGACAATTTTTTTTTGGCATGTACGATACCATGGTTTTCATCTGATCGTGACAAAACATAGCCGTGTTAGATCTAACATTTCCTTGGGAATTTCCTTTTTGTTTTTACGGAGGGTTCCTACGAAAGTAAGTTTATAGGGATCTTTCAGTAAATCATCAGCCAAACTTACCGATGTAAACCAATTATCTATGGACAGATTTAGTTAGCTCTTGTACAAAATACGTTACTAATGGCAACCCATTTGTTTTTGTGATTTTTCCTAAATAGGGGCTGGCATTCAACATGTATTTCGAAGACAAATCGCAAACCATCATTATTTTTATTCCATATTTGGGCAGTTTACTCTCGGTATATACATGCGAAAGGGACAACATCCGCGAAATCCCACCAGCTGTTCGTCAATAGTCAAGTAAGAAGGTGTATACGAGTCTCGACATATCGAAATAAAAATATCCCATATTTCACGAATAGTTTTTATTTGTCATCATACCTAAGACCATTTATTAGGAATGAAAAGCGCTCATCACGCATACAGGCTTTGTAAAATGTTCCTGAGAATTTAGTGTTGAACATATATTTAGCAGACAAATGATTTTGTCTTTGTTCGCTGCCGCCCTTATCAAAATGGCAAAAAGAGCCTTTATCTCGTTTTTTGTGGTTGGTGAAACATTAGCATTGCTTTGGTATTTTTGTGCTTGGTTTTCCACGCTTGGAAGGTAACACCGTTGACCATTTATGACCATTTTTTCCTTTCAAATTGGTGTTTTTGGGCTATATTATTAGTTAGGTAAAAAAAGGCTATTTACCGTATTTCCCTCTGATTCATTACTTTCAGCAAGTCGACAGTAGGCAGCGAGGGACTAATCCGCGTCGGTTTAAAATTTTTTTTCGACGTTATCACCATTTTTTTCTTCTAAATGTTCTTCTTCGGGAGTTGAAGAGTTTTCAAACTGATTGGACTGCTTGACGTTGTGTTGAGGCTCTGTTAAAAAAATATTTTCATCACTTTCATCACTTGAACTTTCTGCTTTGAATCCTAGATGGTCCTCTTCCTAATCACTACCGGTGTCTTCACAAGGATCTGGTTCTAATTCTTCATTAACCATTATACGCTCTATTTCGGGCTCTATTTCATGTTCTTTTAATTGTTTACGGGCCATTTTAACAAATAAACTATTACCTAAGTATTAAAACATTAAAAAAGTACCTTATATCTCAAAAAGATAAAAAAATAGCCCAATTTATCGATGCACTAGTCACAATAATTGTTACAATAAAAACTAACGTAAAGACTGAACGTTCGTAAAATTTACGACGAGCCCGCGAAATATGTGGTAAAAAATTCGACAAACGCACGCACCACCGGCTAGGTGTTGACTAATTAGGTAAATAGCTAGGAGCACCCGGCGGTGCATAGCCAGTGTTGCCGAACCAAAAATGTAAAATTTCCTCTCACTTAATCACAAAATTCATACTTTATCCACCCACGGATTTAAAAATTACCCACTTTTTCCACCCACACTATATAACTATAATCCGGAAAAGCATTACATGCTACGTTTGAAATGTACCTCCTCGAGCAGAGCGAGTATATTTTTTGGTCACGTGACATCGAGCAAACCATATCAATGGAGCAAACGGAGCTTGAATGTATTAAAAAATGGCATTGAGTAAAAAAAGCAAAACGAGGTACTTTTCAAACGCAGCATTAGTTAACAAAAATCTAAATAAATTTCAACATATCAGTTGATCTAGTGTTTAAATACTTTTGACGCGTCTATTAAAAATTATTTGAAAAACAAAGGCAAAGCAAATCTCAAAGTCCATGCCACAGCAAAGTTTTTGATCGTTTTACTCTTGAAAACAACTACTTCTTTAACTAAAAGCGCAACAAAAATTGAATTATATCAAAAGGAAAAGAGCAGATAGAAAATAATTTTCAATACTCTAGCTTTGATTTTGCTTCTTAAGGAGAACGTCATAATTGGATCACATCAAATCACAACACCACAAATACATATCACATTTCAAAACATAAAACATGACATAATTTCATGTGTCAGGTCTTGATTAATACATCAATGACCTAATGTAATAAATAAATATTATCTATTTATTAAAAAGAGGAAATCCAAGATTAATTCGCTTTAAAGTCACTATGGAAGCCTCGATGGGAGCAAATTTCCAAAAATTTCCCAAAAATATTGTATCCACCCAAAATTCCTACTAGAGTCAAAATGTCCACCCAAACGGCAACACTGTGCATAGCCCGGAAGTACTCGAACTTTGATCACTTTACGGGCGCGTCGTAAATTTTACGAATGTCCAGTATTCTAGGGTTAAAATAGTTTTTCACTGCTAACGAAAATACTGAACATTCAGAATTTGAACTTTTCCTTTAATTTTTCCATTACGGTCCATTTTAGAAAAATTATGTATAAAATGAAAATTAGAGAGAATCACATCACAAACAACTCGAATTGGAAGAATTTTCTTCTATAATAGTAAATAACAGATAAAATACTTTAAGGTAGAAAAATGACACTCCATAAAGTACCTCTCCTCCAGATGCTATATGTCCAAAATTCAATCAGCTCACTGCAGGATGGCTAAGTCTTAAGTTTTAAATTTGGTGTTTTTATCTTTATCCGTTTTTGAGTTAATAATAATATTATTATTATTTGTTACAATAATAAAAGAAATACATACTGTCTGCACACGATGGTAATCCACTAGACGCTATTGAAATTGGTGAAATAGGTCCTTCAGATTTTTCAGAAATTTGCCTTATGCGAAATGGAGTCAAATATTTGGAAATATATTCCGAATTGCCATTCTTGAAGTTATTTTCTTCTTCTGAGATATTTTCTAGATGAATAAATGAATTGTCACTATTTCTGTAAAAAAATGTTTGTTTTTAATACAACGTATCATAATGCCGAATGCCGACTATTATAAAAACAGAAAAGCGGTTATTTATCTGGACAATTCCGGGAAATTTTTTACAAAATTGTTATAAAAATTATATAATTTTCAACCTAGGAAAACTAAAGAATATTTTGAAGTGTGATGTGTTTCATTATTTTTCTGTGTTAGTTGTAACGAGAAGAAAACTTCCACGTGATTTAGATACCAAAATTCAAAGTAATTTTTCAAGTACTTAAAAATTTCCGCTCCTTAAGTCGGTCTAGACACACTTCATGAACGATTTTCAATATTAAAATTAATATACGGCAGATTTGTATGGGCCAACGCCAACTTCAACAATTATGTAGTCAATACTTTTTTTAATATCTTTTTAAACCAATTTTCTACAATTTGAATAATAAAAATCCTTTTGAAACTCCAATATATGTGAATATTAGTCGGTTTCTCTTTTTGATGGTGGATTTTTTTAAGACTCTTTCCAAAAATGAATGGTTTTTAGGCTTTACTGCTTTCGCTAGTCTGAATCTTTTTGGCTAATTTATATTTTACTGCCTATTATATTTGAGGCTATTTTGACTTTATTTTGACCTTATTTTGACCTTATTTTGACCTTATTTTGACCTTATTTTGACCTTATTCTGACCTTCATTTGACCTTATTTTGATCATATTTTGACCTTATTTTGACTTTTATTTAATCATAGCGGCAAAAAGCTTCTATTATCTGAATATTAGTAATTTTTAAGTTTTACGTTATTCTCTTTAATTTAAATCTCATAATATATTCCTTTAAATTACTGTACATGTTTTCTGCTTTTACCACATAGTTCATAAAACATCACTTAAAGGATACCTTAGTAAACTGAGAGTAGTAGAATGTAGTGAGTGCAGATTCTGTGACGAGGAGGACGAAACCTCCATTCACATTATGACTGAATTTGTAGCACTCCAAAATCCAAGGGCACTATATCTAGGAGCATATCAAATAGAAGAGGGAGATGTGCCTAACTTCAAGCCACTACAAATCCTATACTCTTTTGAAAAGTTAGGTTATAAGCATCGAAAAATGTCCTTGCTGCATTAGCGATAGAAGGGACACAATAGATCTTTTAGGTCACAGTGTAGTAACACCACAGTCTCAACATAACATAACATAGGTACTTACTCAAATGCAACACTTGCATATTTTAGATCTTTGGACTCCTGGCTAAAAATAATAAAAGTTATAATTAAAAATGATTTCAACAATTTTCTTTAGGAGTTACAGTGTATTAAGGTATAATATAGAAGTCAATAAATACATTCCTTGGGAGGTGGAGAATACATTATATCAAGCCAACAGAGGACTTTGGATTTTTTTTTTAAATTTTAATTATGTCATAAGTAAAACATGATCACAATGTAATTTTAGGCGAATTCCGGACCAATATAAAAAAATCACTCTTGTTTTTATCGGAAAAATTAGGTGCGTATGAGCTTATTTCGTTTTTCATTACTAAATTGAACAAACTAATAATGATTTTAGCCTAAAATTAAGGCCTACACTCAAAATTAAAAAATCCATAGGTGGTCTGCTAATTTGGTATTAAATCCAAAGGTGCTTTGCTAGCTTGATAAAATTGAGAATATTATAATTGCCGCTTGAGACCAAATTTGCTCTTGTATAGGCTCCCACCTCGACAGAGTGAAAGCCACAAGATTTTTTACATGAATTGTTTAGGAAATTGCTAAAATTATTCTACTTTTGAAAACAATAAATAAAATAAGTCAGAGAAACTTACGGTTTGGTACGAAGGCATTTATTATTATTACTATTATTATTACATTTACCTAACCTCTGCCATCGCAGGTTGCTTTGCACAAAAATTGTACAATAAAATAAAAAAAAACTATTTGACTTAACCTGGAGCGCTATTTATTCTTGTAATATTTTGATCGAAGCGCATTTTTAAACTTTCGATGTTCTATCAATACTCTTTTACGTTTTAACGCAATTTTTCCCGGCGCTATTTTATCTGATCGCTTTTGTGAGTGCGCTATTTGTTCTTTCACTGTTTTATCCTGGTGATGTTTCTTTTGCATTATTCTGTCCCACGATATATTTTCTTGCGGTATTCAATGGCGTTGTCGTAACTCCATTAGGTACTATTATAGTGGAATAAGCTAAACATGTGACGAAGTCACTAAATATTCCTTTAATTTAATTATAAAAATGTTTATTTCAAGTTAATTTCTGACTGTTAGCGTTCTCAAGAACTCCCGTATTTTTGTTTCCCAAAAATTCCCGTTTTTAAACATTTGCGAGAGCCCCCGTAGTTCAAAATATGTAATCCTATACTGAAATTCGAATCAAGCTTTGAACGCTCATATTCAGGTAAATTATCTGGTAATTTTCGCAAATGACTAAAGGATATTTTTTCAGTCCTCCGATTTGTAAATATTGGCTACTTCCACTCGGAAACCGAACTAGTCCGAGCGTTAAAGTATAAGACCGGATCCCTCGAGTAAACTCTCTATTTACTGCTGCTCGTTTTTCGCTTCTATTTTTATCGATAAGTACTGATGTACTTGTTTCGATAATAGAAAATATGATTAAAATTTATTTTTAAAAATATTAGTAATTAATAAAAATAAAAAAAAATAATAATAGTAATAGCTAAAATTAGATTTACAATTTAAAATTTACACTAATAACTAGAATAAGTATACAATAAAGAATAAAATATAATATATATTTAGTAAAAGAGTACTAAAAATGGACTCAATTACAATTATTTATATAGTTCATCTATTAAGGCATTAAAAAAGGATCTTGGAGTCTTTTGTAAAAATGTTCTTAAGTGTTTTTTGAATGTACTTCTGTTTTGTATCGTTTTGGTAGTTTTAGGGATATTATTGTACATTTTAGTGGCAATGTATGAATAGGCTTTCTGTGAGAATGATTTCTTTACCAATGGGTGTGTAAGTAATTCTCGATGCCTGGTGTAGTACTGATGATCTGGATGAGGTGCTATCATCACTAGAATGGTATATAATGCATACATTGTAATAGAACAGTTGTCTCAAATCCATTATATCCGATAATTTATACAATTCATCGGTCGGATACCTAGAGGGTTTTGAAATGATTATTTTTATAATTCGTTTTTAGATAGTTTCAAGGGTATTTATATAGGTACGTGCAGCTGCGCCCCATATCGGAATTCCATACCTAAGATGGCTTTCAACAAGAGCGAGATAAAGTTGTTTTAGATATTTAATAGGTAAGAACTCTTTTAGATGTTTACAAGTGTAAATAATTTGCTCCAATTTTTTTACTATCTGATTAATATGTTTATCCCACCTTAAGTGACAATCCAAATATATTCCCAAATACTTCATTTTGACAAACGATTTAAAGCCAAAATTTTTTAATTTCAATGTTACTTTGTTGAAAGTCTGTTACTCCGCTGGCGTTATAACTAAAAGGTAAAAATTTGGTCTTATTTAAATTCATTGTTAAGAGCTTATGGTCGAACCATTTTTTTATTGCCCTAATGTCGGTGTCTACTTTTGCTTTGAGTTGTTGCCAAGTGTCTGCTTCATAAAAAATGGCAGTATCATCTGCGTATCCTATGATTTCACCAGTTGTATCTAAGTGAAACAGCTCATTCACATACAAATTAAACAAAATAGGCCCTAGGACTGTGCCCTGTGGTAAACCATATTCAATAGATGCCTCTTCACTTATGTTATCCCCTACTCTTACCACTTGGTTTCTTGTGCATAGATAACTTTTAAAAAGAGTTAGTACGTTTCCCCTGATTCCCACATCTTCTAGGGTTTGAATTAACAACGGATGATTTACCGTGTCAAAAGCCTTACTTAAATCTATAAATAGGCATAAGCAAGGTTGAAGACTAGAGACAAGGAGGCGAATCGACAGTGGTCAAATTTCAAATTTCCGTCCTTCTTTTTATAAAGTTGGCGAAAATGACTATAGTTTTTTTAAAAAATTTGTGAAAAGAATCAAAATAATGTGAAAAAAAGTACCTGACCACAAGTAACATGAGTAATAAAAAACATCAAAGCAAGATTTATGTCGTTGCAGATTGTAAAACAGGATACAAATCAAATGTCAAACTAAAATAAACACAAGTAGGAATCAATTCAATGTCTTTTTAAAGCTTCTAATGTAAGTAAAATAATGTATTTATGTCTAAATATAATATTTATTGTAAACTAGATACAATATGTATCTTACGGAATGTAGTTTATTTTATTACAAGTTTCTATAATATAAAATTTTACAGTCATAGATCCTGACTCACAAACAACAATAATTATACATTAAATTTAACTTACTAGAAAAGACAATTTATTTTTTATAGAGTTTTAATGTTAGATAAAGAGTTGCTACTGTTATTTATTTTGTTGAATCCCAATTGTAAATGTTTTTTATAGGATACTAAACGTTTAGAACAGTGGCAGCATATATATCGTTCCTAGTGCTGATAAAGCACTTTCTAGAGATGATGCTGTTCTATACTTCTTAGAAGATATCAAATATTATGAGACTATTTTTACTGATGGTGCTGTCAGCAAAATAAAAAGGGGGAGGTGAAATTAAAGGATGAGGTAATACCATGTACATTCCCAAATCTCCCTTTATATTTATATTACAACAATAAAAAATCTATTAACTGTGTTTTATTTTGCTCTTAAAACTATATATAGGTTCAATTAAAAAAAAATTGCCACAAAATTGTACTTATCAAATTTCAGCATTTAACAAACCTTTTCGAATTTGGACATACCTACCTATTTGTATTTTATATAGATAAAATTAAATAATTTATCAATTAAACATGCAAGACTTATTTAGAAATAAATACAACAGTATGTTCTGTGCTTTATTTAGCTATAAACAAGTTTTTTTTTATTATTTTGACAAAATTATGTATAATTCTCATAAGAAGCCATGTATTTTGAACACCGTATGCAGTACTAGCGCCCATGCGGTTAATTATAAAAGCTCAATTAGCGTGCGTTATTTGGGACCGTATTTTGAGTATGCTGATTCGCCTTCTTATCTCTAGTCTTCATACCCTGTAGCGTTGTCAGGTATATTAATCAAATAAAATAATTTCAAATTAATTTATTTTTAAATTATTGATTTAAACAGTTTATTTCTACGAAATATCGCAACAAAATAACTTATACCCATTTAAATAATTACCCCATAATATTTATGTGTAATTACATGTACACAAATATATTTAGACATGTTCACCATGCGATCACCTACATTTAATATTGACTTGGCAACACCGTTTAAATCGGGAGTTCCAAGGCTATATGACGCTTAATTTTTCAGGACCGTCTCCTTATTTACAATCTTTCAGTAGTAGAACGCGTCTATTTGTGATATTTTGGTTGGATTTTGTGTTTTATTATTTAATTACACATTTGACAGCCTTTTTGAATATTTTTTTATTATTAGTTTTGTGTAGCGTTAAATTTAATACTAAGTACAATAAAAAGACACTAATATACCTATCTATTATAATGTAAATGAAGATCTGTTTATTTATATACAGGTTGTCCAAGCGACGGGAAACACTATCTGCAAATGGATCTGACAAACTAATAAATAGATCGTCCGTCCATCTAAAATTTTAGGATCGTTTTTTATAATAAAGTGTTATAGCTGAAATTGGTAATATATACAATAAACATTATTTTATTTTATTATTTTAAAATAATATTTATTTGAGCTCAAATTTGAAAGTTTTTTAAATGAATTATAATGAAAAAAGTAGTAATTAACTATTACATTAAATTATCCTTTATTGCAGAGGGAAAGAACATGCTTAAATTTTGAATTAATAAAACATTAATATCTTCAATTGTTTAAATGGATACAATATTTTTTATTATTTTATTATATTTTACGGCCAAAATAAGTAGAATTCGTGTTTATTTTTTTGTATTCAACTTGAAGATCACTTCCAGTTCTGTCAAAATATCGACTGATTATTTGAATTAAATTGATAGAAAACGATCCTTAAATTGATTTGGACTATACAGACTGTTTCTGGTATGCAGTATCGAACTTTTATATGGACCTAAAACACCCTGTTAAACGGGCTTAAAACTTACAAAATATGTAAGTACTATGAAGAAGCAACAATTTTCAAAAAAATATAGCAGAAGTATTTTAAATTT